CTCTTCCGATCTCCCCAAAACCCCAAAACCCCATAGGTTGTAATTTAATAAAAGCTGAATAATAACTTAAACTGCATCATAGCAATAATATAAAATGGATTAATTAGAGAGAAAAATATCGTAAACCTAAGACTCCAATATCAGCTCTCAGGAGAATTTCAACATGACAAACAGCAATGAAAACTCCTAGATAATCCTACAAAACCCTCAGAACTTCGCTTTTGGCTTCGGAGTCTAGCCACAGATCAACATTCTCTAAGAGAACTGAGCTTCATTACTTGCTAAAAAGAATCATAGTCCCAAATTGCATGACTTTAATTAGGATTAGGATGGAGCTAATTCAAAATCTCGTACTCATAACAATCTTAACTCTACAAAGAGTAAGGGATCCACTAACCAAAAGCTGATAATAGAGAAATAAAGCTCCATATTATCAACTTAGTCAAACTCGCCACCCCCTCAGATTGAGCCCAAATCAGATAAAATCGACTCAGCAATAACAAAGAACAAAAAACAGAATCCCTATAACAAAGCGTAAAATAGTAACAATATGAATTCAATTAATAAAAATTCTACTTAGCAGTAAAATTAATAGCATACGGACAACTCTACTCTAGTGCTTGAAAACAACTCTACTAACAAGTCTGAAAATAATGCGTTAAAACTTATCAATCCTCACAAGTTCATTCAACAGAATAATTTTATACCAGTACCTCCAATTAATAATGGGTCTCAGCAGAAACCAAATATGGGTATATACTAGCCACCTAGTTCTGCGGCTATGTTCTCTTAGCCAATTTCATTTTACCCTTCTGGAGAAAACATTACTCAGCATAAAATACCATCTAGACAGGAGTAAAGATAAAAGAATTTATATGTTTTCACTACTCCTCTCATTAACAATTCTTCAAATATTGGAGGTCCTTTTCAAGAAGCGTTGATGAGAGAAAAGACTAGAGGTCTTAATAGCAGCAATAACTAAAACAACAACAACCGTTATCGGGATTCAACATACTTAACTGAGGAGCAGAAATTCATAATAGACTAAGCAAGTGAAGAATAGGGCAATAGTGACGGCTCATTAAGTGACAGAATAGTTAATATAAGTTAAGAATTCATTAATAGACAGGTTGATGAGGAGGAGTTGAGACAATCTGTTACCACTGAGGGAGATGTTTAGGAGGAGGTTAAAGTTGAAAATGATGATCCTTACTATTACCAGAATCATCCAAACAAGAGACTGAGTGGTGGTAATTCAAACATTCTAGGAGCTGTGAAAGCAAATCATAAACTTAAGGTAAAAGAGCAGTACTCCCCTTATAGATAATCTCAAGCCAGACTTTCTAAAAATTCAATCAGGTATTTCCAATAAGTTCCATAGAAATAGATTCAAAGTGACATCCATAAAAATTTAGACACCGAAGCAAGCTATAATACGAACTCAAAAGTTGTCAAAAGGACTATATTTACTAATAACAATGGAGTATAACGAAGATAGTCTCCTTAGAACTTGATTAGCAGTAGTAACACCTCAAGGATTTAACCATTAGCTGAGAGATAGATATATTAGTCAGAAGAGCCGCAGATATATGTTGAGACTGGTGAAAGACTACTCACTAAAACTCCCATGAATATGCATCATTAGAGACTTAACATAAACACATCAAATCAAGGTAACTACAAGGACCTGATATTTATCAGATCAAGGTCTCATTCAAAGGGAAATGGCTAAAAGAGGATAAGAGTTCATAGTAATAATAATGTCATTAACATAAATTCGCAAAGTTAACTCAGCAATAGAAGCAGAAGCGGCTCAAGCGCTTCCTCTTAATCAATAAACACAATTTAAAGAATGAAAATAGAAGATCAAAATGCAATAATGACTCCCCAAAAGATGACCTTATCGCCAGGAGCTACATTCCAACAAAGAGGGAGAAAGATAATTCAAAATAAAAACCCATAGTATATCAGTCCAAATAGGAATTCCCCAATCACGCAGACCTAGAGCACTCCACAGGCATAGCCTAACTTTGGATTCACTCTTCAAGGAAGCAACACTAACCTTATCAATCACATAGTCTAAGACCAACACTAATATTAAAATGAATAGCAGTAATTGCCATCTAGAACAGATAGAATTAAATAAACCTTGAAAAATATAATTAGCAATTAACAACAATAAATTGAAGAGCAGTGTAAAAACTTACCATAGTCAACAACCAATAGCAACAACTAATCCAAGCCTAAATTCATTTTGAATAAAAAGAAGATTAAACTTAAACCTCTTGACTCCTATAATAACTTCAATTTCAACCATTTATCTCTGGGTAGTCAAAGGGCTAAGAGAGACTACTCGAATATCAGGAATGCTGGTGGACTCAGAGAAGTTTTGAGTCCTTTTTAGGATGAGTAATTAATTTCTTCCTTGTCAAAGTAAAACGAAGGACTCTAGCAAATGATTAATTATCAAGTTCAATAGATTTAATCTATTGAAAGCAACATTTAGCACTAGCAAATGCAATAGTAGCCTAAAATACAAGTTAGTAAGCAAGCAATCAAGAACAGATTGAGGCAAAGTTATGAAAATCATACAAGTCCCAACAGATACTCAATTATGAGCAGCATTGCAAATAGCAATAGAATATTTGGATCAGGAATCAGCCCAACTACAGAACTCAGAAATAGTAACAATGATTTCAACCTTGAGAATAAAGTTAAGAGTAAGGATAGAAATTAAAACTAAATTATAAGATATCAGCAACAATGATGTTTGTAATATTGATTGCTTATAAATCTAATGATAAATCTAGCTAGCATCATTGACTTACGGGGTTTTGGGGTTTTGGGGTTTTGGGG